CTTCAAACCCTGGCCAGAGTTGAATTTCTAACTGCAAATCTGTTTATATCACTTTTTTTTAAAATTTCATTGGGCACTCCATCTTCTTCAAGATGTAACCAGACCAGTGCCAGGACAACAGTAAGGCAATTCTTTTTTTTTTTGGTTTGTTTTTTTTCCGGTACCGGGAATCAAACTCACACAACCTTGCGCTTGCCAGGCAGGCGCTGTGCCGCTGAGCTAAATCCCCAGCCCCAAGACATAAGGTTTTTAATGAACTGACCTCATCTAGCCTTTCTGAAATTCTCATTAGGTTAATAGCCCTGCTGTAGACCATTTGTAGTTCTTTGAGCTGTCCAGATTCTCTATGTGTCTTGGGTTTTACAAAAACTGTCGCCTCTATGTGAGCAGTCCCTCCTTCATCCTGTTAACCTTTATCAATCCAATCACTCTTTAAGATCCAGCTTTGACAACAAAACACAACTCCCTGTAAACAGAGGCAATAAGAAAGGAATCAAAGTATGTTGCTATAAAAAAAAAAGATGAACCCTGTAAATTTTTTTTTGTTTTAATTTTTATTTCTGGATATGGTTGAGCACCCGTGTGGTCCTAGTACTTGGAAGGCTGAGGCGGGAGGGTCTGCATGAGTTTGAGGCCAGCCTGGGCTACACAGTGAGTTCAGGGCCAGCCTGTACTATATACCGAGACTCTGTCTCAAAAAACCAAAACTACATAAATTTTTAAGAATAAATTTTTACTGATACATAAAAAAGATCCAGCTTTGAAGTCAAGTATTTGTCATCTTTCACTCCATCAGGTGGTGAAGTGGCCCTCTTCTGAGTCCAGTTAGATTGTGGCAGCACTCACTGTGAAGTGCAAGTGGTCCTCATGTCATTTTTGTACCGGCCTACGGGGACCATGACAGTAAGGAGGACTTTGATAGGTAGGTTTCTCTTGCACAAAAAAATATACATGATCAACACTTCTGGAACTAATAACCCTCAAAATAGACAATGCCTAACTCCATGGCATTATAAAGCGTTAGGTCAGCCTGGCCAGATGACATAGTCAATAGCAGAAATCCCAGTGAATGAAAACACCACCCCTGGGAGGGAAGAGTGTCTCCAGCTGGGATAGGAGGGGCTGGCGGATGTGAGGGGCTGGTGGATGTGAGGGGCTGGCGTGCTGCTGGAACGGCTCTGCTGGAGAGAGACACAGGTGTCTTGGACACGCCCAGGAGGATAAGGGGCAGGGAGCGGGGCGGGGAGCGGGGCAGGGAGCCGGCCGCAGCTGGTGGGAATGGTGGGGAACGCGTGACACCTCTGACCGTGCCACACTCTCACCTGGAGGGAAAAGCCCCAAAATAAGGCTAGAAGGTAGCACGAATGGCGGGGACCCTAATGGCATCATTTACTACTTGGGTCATTCACCACGCTAGTCTATAAATGATAATGGTACTGTACTTGCTTAAACAATCTTACTATAAATTAGATACCGTATTTGTACTTCAGCACCTTCTGGTTAAGGATCGTTGTAAATGAAACCTACAATGTCAGGCAAGTCAAGAGGATAAAGACGCGGGAAGAGCAGCGGGAGGAAAGGAAAAGGGATGAGAAAAGCAATTAAGACGTGTTGTGCCCAAGGACCGACTCCACACAAGGGGGGTAAACATTATGTATTGCACAAGTGTACTAATAAAAATACATGTGAGGATTATGTTTTTAAAAACTAGGTTTCTTTAGTCACTACAATATTGTCTTTTCCAATGTCTAATTTACAATTGGCTTTTTTTTCACTATTTGTTGCTTTTTGTCCAACTAGACATTCTATCTATTTACTGTGGAGACTGAGCTGAGGCCCTTCGCACTAAGCTACCTCCTCAGCCCTTTTACATTTTTTTATTCTTATAGTGAGTCTTACTAAATCACTAAGTTGCCCAGGCTGAGCTCAAACTTGTGATCCTCCTGCCTCAGCTTCCCAGAGTGCTGGGATGACAGGTGCCCTGGTTGCACCCTTGGTTTTGCTTTTCTAGGAACACTTGGTTGATACAACTACTCAGGAGCTGGATGGCAAAGCACACTGCTGCTGCGTGACCATTGTAAACACAACTAGCAGACACAGCACCCACTGCAGTGCCTCCGAAATGTCCTTAAACTGAGCCTCACCTACGTTAGCAGCACCAAATCTGCATTCACAGAGAATTCTGTTTTGCAACTGCCTCACCGTTCTGCAATAAACCAACTCCTTATGATGACCATGTTGACAGTGGATTCTTACAATTCCCTTGGAAATGCAATTTACATTTTTAGTCTAGTTTATTTTTAAACATTTGCTATGAGGAAAACTGTGCTCTTAATTTAAAGTATTTAGCCAGTTGTGGTGGCATGCAACTATACAGCCCACTACTTAGGAGGCTGAGGCAGGAGGGCCCTTTGAGCTCAGGAATTTGAGGTCAGCCTGAGCAACAGGAGACCTCAAGGAGAAAACCTGAACAAAGAAAGGTGATCTAAAATGAAATAACCGCCGGGCATGGTGGCGCACATCTATAATCCCAGCACTCAGGAGGCTGAGGCAGGAGGATTGTTGAGAGTTGGAGACCAGCCTGGGCTACAAAGTGAGCTCAAAGCCAGCCTGAGCTGCATATTGAGACCCTGTCTCAAAAAGACAAAATAAATACATAAATTAAGAAAAAAAAAAAGAAATAACCATGACAGCTGGGTGCTGTGGCGCATGCCTGTAATCCCAGTGGTCAGCGGAGCGTGGCAAGTTTGAGCTACTCAGTGAGGCCCTATTTAAAAAAAAAAAGTAAGCAGGAGGATGGTGTTCTTCATTGGCAGAGTACTCCTGGGTTGTATCCCAAATACAAAAAAATTACCTTTATTTTTTGTTTAAATTGTGTTCTTGACTGGACATTTATCTAAGTAACCAGCTTACCTCCCCACCTATTTTTACACGCGCAGAAGTTGTGGTACTTGGAGTTACACTCATCTGCCATGTGTCAGAGGTAAATAAGTACATTTTATTCCTTTGCAGAAGGAATCGATGGGATACATACAAACCGTGGTTAGCGTGGACCTGCTAAACACAGGCAGCTGACAGAGCTCACCGAAGAACACGCGGCTGCCGCCAGCACCCTGCGCATCTGAGTGTGCGGCCCTAGTGGTCGGTTTCTCTGGTCAGAGAACAGGATGGGCCCGTGATGACGGTGATAAAATGCGATAAAATGCGTGCCTTTGTCTCTCCTTGGAAATAACTGGTAGCCTCCATTCCCGAAGCACTCTAGCATCCACTCCAGCCAATAAACGTCTTCCTTTAATCTCCAGTGACGGATAGCACCCTAATCCCCGCACACAAGAATGACTTCAACTCCTCTCTTTGCCATCCCGGTTTTTTGACATCCGTGGTCCACGATCTTTAGTTTGTTTCAAATGCAAAAAAAATCGCTGTAGGGTGGGACCCTTGAAGGTTAATCTGGCTTGTTTGCATATCAGAAGAAGGGCGTGGTCACTTTAAAGGCACAGCCAATAAAATGAGTTCCATCACTTATTTATTAGAGATCAGAACAATTGTTCTTTTCTAGTTCCTCTCCCAGCTCACAATCAAGCGCTCCTCAGAGCTAGGGGAATCTTTTCAAGCTTCTCCCCCAGAACCAAGGGAAGTGATTGTTCTTTTTCCTTTTCCTTGCTCTCCCCTAAAGGCAGTATTTTTCCAATTTAGACCCGCTCTTCCTCCGAAGGAAGCCAGCCCCGCCAGTTCTGCGCTTCCGAGCAGCGGACAGAAAAGGTGGCCGGCAGGTTTGCAGCTGAGCTTGTACCTCCACCTGTCCTCTTCCACAGTGCTGGGAGCCGCACAGCCACTCTGCCTGTTTTCTCCTCCTCTGTCCTTAGCAGCCCAGTCCTCACCAACAGCACCTCCACACGTCCCAGTTTTTGGACCTAAACTTCCTGCACAGTCTTAGTCTTTTTCCACTTATAAAACTTCCACTTTTATTTGCACTTCCGTCTTCATCTCCTCACCTCTACTTTGTCCCGGCCTCTGTTATCACCACTTCAGAGCACGTGGGCAGGGTGGCTGACACCTTCCACGCCGCACCCAAGACTATTTTTTCCAGTTATTACCTCACCTAACAAGTGAGTGTGGATTTTACTAAGGACTTTCTCTTCACGGCA